AACCTGGCAGAGAACCTACAGAGAACCTGACAGAGAACCTACAGAGAACCTGACAGAGAACCTATAGCTTTCATAAAGGAGGATTCTGTGGATTTTAGTTTCTCTCGTCTCTAAATCCACTCTAGTGAAACAAACTCTGCTCAATCGTTTTGGATTTGTCAGAATGCTGCCCTCTGATTGGTCAGAGCGCTGCCCTCTGATTGGTCAGAGCGCTGCATGTGAACTATATGGGGGAGTTCTGCCAATCTTTCGGTGCCCACTGTTCTTCATCTTCAGAACAAGAGAAATAATGTTTGTTCTTTTGTGTTGTTCTGAAATAAACATAGATTTTTTAAAATACAAACTTATTCTCTCTCTCCTCTCTCTTTCCTCTCCCTCTCATGTCCTCTCCCTCGCCTCTCCCTCTCTCTCTCCCCCTGCTTCCTCTCCTCTCCCTCTCCCTCTCCCCCTGCTCCCTCTCCTCCCCCTCGGTCTCGCTCTGGTCCCTGCAGTCGGAGGTGTCATGGATCCCCAATAAGCATTACTCTGGGATCTATGGTCTGATGAAGCTGACTCTGACCAAGGCCCTCCCCTCGGAGCTGTCGCAGGTGATCGTCCTGGACACAGACATCACCTTCGCCACAGACATCGCCGAGCTCTGGGGAATCTTCCGGAAGTTCACTGGTAATACTCATGCTCTCCCGCTTTATCTGCTGCCGGGGGGCAAGGGCAGCCCAGAGGTCTCTCTCCTATCATCTCTCTCTCTCTGGTCTCTCTCTGGTCTCTCTCTGGTCTCTCTCTGGTCTCTCTCTCTGGTCTCTCTCTGGTCTCTCTCTCTGGTCTCTCTCTCTGGTCTCTCTCTGGTCTCTCTCTGGTCTCTCTCTGGTCTCTCTCTCTGGTCTCTCTCTCTGGTCTCTCTCTCTCTGGTCTCTCTCTGGTCTCTCTCTCTGGTCTCTCTCTGGTCTCTCTCTCTGGTCTCTCTCTCTGGTCTCTCTTCTGGTCTCTCTCTGGTCTCTGTCTCTCTGGTCTCTGTCTCTCTGGTCTCTGTCTCTCTGGTCTCTCTGGTCTCTCTCTCTGGTCTCTCTCTGGTCTCTCTCTGGTCTCTCTCTGGTCTCTCTGGTCTCTCTCTGGTCTCTCTGGTCTCTCTCTCTGGTCTCTCTCTGGTCTCTCTCTGGTCTCTCTCTGGTCTCTCTCTGGTCTCTCTCTGGTCTCTCTCTCTGGTCTCTCTCTGGTCTCTCTCTCTGGTCTCTCTCTCTGGTCTCTCTCTGGTCTCTCTCTGGTCTCTCTCTGGTCTCTCTCTCTGGTCTCTCTCTCTGGTCTCTCTCTCTGGTCTCTCTCTGGTCTCTCTCTGGTCTCTCTCTCTGGTCTCTCTCTGGTCTCTCTCTCTGGTCTCTCTCTGGTCTCTCTTCTGGTCTCTCTCTGGTCTCTGTCTCTCTGGTCTCTGTCTCTCTGGTCTCTCTGGTCTCTCTCTCTGGTCTCTCTCTGGTCTCTCTCTGGTCTCTCTCTGGTCTCTCTGGTCTCTCTCTGGTCTCTCTCTGGTCTCTCTCTCTGGTCTCTCTCTCTGGTCTCTCTCTGAGGTTTTAAATAACGATGGGGGAGGGGCTAATATGAGAGTTATCTTCTAGATATTAGACATTATTCAACGTTAATCTGTCAAATATTTTTTACAAATCTCCTCTTCTCCCCCCTCTCTCCTCTCCCCCCTCCTCCCCCCTCCCTCCCAGACAAACAGGTGATAGGTCTGGTGGAGAACCAGAGCGACTGGTATCTGGGAAATCTGTGGAAGAATCACAAACCATGGCCTGCACTGGGACGAGGCTTTAATACTGGTAAGAGACCAGAGGGAGACCAGAGGGAGACCAGAGGGAGACCAGAGAGAGACCAGAGGGAGACCAGAGAGAGACCAGAGAGAGACCAGAGAGAGACCAGAGAGAGACCAGAGAGAGACCAGAGAGAGACCAGAGAGAGACCAGAGAGAGACCAGAGAGAGACCAGAGAGAGAGACCAGAGAGAGAGACCAGAGAGAGAGACCAGAGAGAGAGACCAGAGAGAGAGACCAGAGAGAGAGACCAGAGAGAGAGACCAGAGAGAGAGACCAGAAAGAGAGACCAGAGAGAGACCAGAGAGAGAGACCAGAGAGAGACCAGAGAGAGACCAGAGAGAGACCAGAGAGAGACCAGAGAGAGACCAGAGAGAGACCAGAGTGAGAGACCAAAGAGAGACCAAAGAGAGACCAAAGAGAGACCAGAGAGAGACCAGAGTGAGACCGGAGTGAGACCAGAGAGAGACCAGAGAGAGACCAGAGAGAGACCAGAGAGAGACCAGAGAGAGACCAGAGAGAGACCAGAGAGAGAGACCAGAGAGAGAGACCAGAGAGAGAGACCAGAGAGAGAGACCAGAGAGAGAGACCAGAGAGAGAGACCAGAGAGAGAGACCAGAGAGAGAGACCAGAGAGAGACCAGAGAGAGAGACCAGAGAGAGACCAGAGAGAGACCAGAGAGAGACCAGAGAGAGACCAGAATGAGAGACCAAAGAGAGACCAAAGAGAGACCAGAGAGAGACCAGAGTGAGACCAGAGAGAGACCAGAGAGAGACCAGAGAGAGACCAGAGAGAGACCAGAGAGAGACCAGAGAGAGACCAGAGAGAGACCAGAGAGAGACCAGAGAGAGAGACCAGAGAGAGAGACCAGAGAGAGAGACCAGAGAGAGAGACCAGAGAGAGAGACCAGAGAGAGACCAGAGAGGGAGACCAGAGAGGGAGACCAGAGAGAGACCAGAGACCAGAGAGAGACCAGAGAGAGACCAGAGAGAGACCAGAGAGAGACCAGAGAGAGACCAGAGAGAGACCAGAGAGAGACCAGAGAGAGACCAGAGAGAGAGACCAGAGAGAGAGACCAGAGAGAGAGACCAGAGAGAGAGACCAGAGAGAGAGACCAGAGAGAGACCAGAGAGAGACCAGAGAGAGAGACCAGAGAGAGACCAGAGAGGGAGACCAGAGAGAGACCAGAGAGAGACCAGAGAGAGACCAGAGAGAGACCAGAGAGAGACCAGAGAGAGACCAGAGAGAGAGACCAGAGAGAGAGACCAGAGAGAGAGACCAGAGAGAGAGACCAGAGAGAGAGACCAGAGAGAGACCAGAGTGAGAGACCAAAGAGAGACCAAAGAGAGACCAGAGAGAGACCAGAGTGAGACCAGAGTGAGACCAGAGTGAGACCAGAGAGAGACCAGAGAGAGAGACCAGAGAGAGAGACCAGAGAGAGAGACCAGAGAGAGAGACCAGAGAGAGAGACCAGAGAGAGAGACCAGAGAGAGACCAGAGAGAGACCAGAGAGAGACCAGAGTGAGAGACCAAAGAGAGACCAAAGAGAGACCAGAGAGAGACCAGAGTGAGACCAGAGTGAGACCAGAGTGAGACCAGAGAGAGACCAGAGAGAGACCAGAGAGAGACCAGAGAGAGACCAGAGAGAGACCAGAGAGAGACCAGAGAGAGACCAGAGAGAGACCAGAGAGAGACCAGAGAGAGACCAGAGAGAGAGACCAGAGAGAGAGACCAGAGAGAGAGACCAGAGAGAGAGACCAGAGAGGGAGACCAGAGAGGGAGACCAGAGAGGGAGACCAGAGAGGGAGACCAGAGAGGGAGACCAGAGAGGGAGACCAGAGAGGGAGACCAGAGAGGGACCAGAGAGAGACCAGAGAGAGACCAGAGAGAGATTTTGGGACTGGTACGAGGCTGTGGTCCTCTTTCAGGTGTGATCCTCCTGCACTTGGAGCGGTTGCGGTCCATGCGGTGGGAGCAGATGTGGAGACTGACCGCGGAGAGAGAGCTCATGAGCATGCTCAGTACGTCCCTGGCCGATCAGGTCTGTACCCAGTCTGTACCCTGTGTGTGTCTGTGTGTGTCTCAGGACATTTTTAACAACTGTTGTGTGTCTGTGTGTGTCTCAGGACATCTTTAACGGCTGTTGTGTGTCTGTGTGTGTCTCAGGACATCTTTAACGGCTGTTGTGTGTCTGTGTGTGTCTCAGGACATATTTAACGCCTGTTGTGTGTCTGTGTGTGTCTCAGGACATATTTAACGCCTGTTGTGTGTCTGTGTGTGTCTCAGGACATATTTAACGCCTGTTGTGTGTCTGTGTGTGTCTCAGGACATATTTAACGCCTGTGTGTGTGTTGTGTGTCTGTGTGTGTCTCAGGACATCTTTAACTCCTGTTGTGTGTCTGTGTGTGTCTCAGGACATCTTTAACGCCTGTTGTGTGTGTGTTGTGTGTCTGTGTGTGTCTCAGGATATCTTTAACGCCTTCATAAAGCAGAAGCCGGTCCTGGTTCATCGTCTCCCGTGTTTCTGGAACGTTCAGCTGTCGGACCACACGCGCTCAGAGCAGTGCTACAGCGAAGTGTCTGATCTGAAGGTACTAGTACTGCAAATACTACTGCAAATACTACTGCAAATACTACTGCAAATACTACTGCAAATACTACTGCAAATACTACTGCAAATACTACTACCACTGCTGCTATTACTGCTACCACTGTTACTACTACTACTCTGGTCTCTCTCTGGTCTCTCTCTGGTCTCTCTCTGGTCTCACTCTGGTCTCTCTCTGGTCTCTCTCTGGTCTCTCTCTGGTCCCTCTCTGGTCTCTCTCTGGACTCTCTCTGGACTCTCTCTGGACTCTCTCTGGACTCTCTCTGGACTCTCTCTGGTCTCTCTCTGGTCTCTCTCTGGACTCTCTCTGGACTCTCTCTGGACTCTCTCTGGACTCTCTCTGGACTCTCTCTGGTCTCTCTGGTCTCACTCTGGTCTCTCTCTGGTCTCGCTCTGGTCTCTCTCTGGTCCCTCTCTGGTCTCTCTCTGGACTCTCTCTGGACTCTCTCTGGTCTCTCTGGTCTCTCTCTGGTCTCTCTCTGGTCTCTCTCTGGTCTCTCTCTGGTCTCTCTCTGGTCTCTCTCTGGACTCTCTCTGGACTCTCTCTGGTCTCTCTCTCCCTGACCTCTCTGGTCTCTCTCTGGTCTCTCTCTGGTCTCTCTCTGGTCTCTCTCTGGTCCAAACGACACGCCTCCCTTTCCTCCTGGTCCAGGTGATCCATTGGAACTCTCCAAAGAAGCTGCGAGTGAAGAACAAACACGTGGAGTTCTTCAGGAACCTGTACCTGACCTTCCTCGAGTACGACGGGAACCTGCTGCGGCGGGAACTGTTCGGCTGCTCCAGTCCCAGCAGCCCCGAGACCATCCAGGTGAGACCAGGACCAAGACCATCCGGGTGAGACGCGGACCCAGGACTGAGACTGTAGACCCAGCACTGAGACTGTAGACCCAGGACTGAGACTGTGTGTCGTGTTGTAAAGTTTCACTCTCCACTACTGGCCGGGCGGTAGAACTACATTGTTTTGAACACTGAGAAATTTACATTAGGAGCCAGGTCGTTTCTGTTAATAGCCTGGAAACGTCTGCGCAGCGTCTCAGTATAAACCAAGCCCCTGGGCTCAGTGGCGCTTTGTGACGGCATGGGGGCTGAAAGATTAGCGGAAGTCACCTGGAACTCGCAAAGATCTATGGGAAACTCTCCTGTATTTGGGCATCGTCTGGTCCTCCCGGTTCTGTGCAGTGGATGATCTCCCATAATGCGTTGCGCCAAACACGCGTGTGTGGGTCTCACACCGGGTCTCACGCACGTGCACAGAGGGTCTCACGCACGTGCACAGAGGGTCTCACGCACGTGCACAGAGGGGCTCGGCCGCGCTCTGACCAATCAGAGCAGTTCATCAGAGCGGGAGTTAGAGCGAGAGCCTGAGGAGCAGAGTTTGTGGCAGTAAAGTGTGGATTTAAACAAAACCGAAGGATTTAAGAAGAAAAAAAGTTCAGGATGACAAGGGACACTAAAATCCCCACAAAATCTGACCTTTATTAAAGCTGTAGGTTCTCTGTCAGCTGAGGTTGAGCTGTTTTAATATGCATTGAGTTCTATGGGGAAAATTTCTGGGTAGCCCACGTGAATTTAGTCTGGTTCAGTCTGCAGTACCGCGAGAATCCCCTGAGCACGTGAGTTATTCAGCTACAAGCTAGTAACACCCTATCCAGTTATTATAATAGATCCATGGTATAAACCCAGCCTGAGACCTCTGTCCTTCAGCTGCAGTCCGCTCTGGAGCAGTTGGATGAAGACGACCAATGTTACGACTTCAGGCGAGAGCGGCTCACGGTCCACAGAGTCCATCTGTACTTCCTCCACTACGACTATCCCAGGACCGACAACGGCAGCGACGTGACCCTGGTGGCCCAGCTCTCCATGGACAGGTACTGCAGGTCTGGACCAGGTCTGAACCAGGTCAGAGCCAGGTCAGAGCCAGGTCAAAACCAGGTCTGAACCAGGTCAGAACCAGGTCTGAACCAGGTCTGAAGCAGGACTAAAGCAGGACTAAAGCAGGACTAAAGCAGGACTAAAGCAGGACTAAAGCAGGACTAAAGCAGATCTAAAGCAGGTCTGAAGCAGGTCTGAACCAGGTCTGAAGCAGGTCTGAACCAGGTCTGAACCATGTCTGCGGCAGGTCTAAAGCAGGTCTAAAGCAGGTCTAAAGCAGGACTAAAGCAGGACTAAAGCAGGACTAAAGCAGGACTAAAGCAGGACTGAAGCAGGACTAACGCAGGTCTAAAGCAGGTCTAAAGCAGGTCTAAAGCAGGTCTAAAGCAGGACTAAAGCAGGACTAAAGCAGGTCTAGTAGGTCTGAAGCAGGACTAAAGCAGGTCTAGTAGGTCTGAAGCAGGACTAAAGCAGGTCTAGTAGGTCTGAAGCAGGACTAAAGCAGGTCTAGTAGGTCTGAAGCAGGCCTAAAGCAGGTCTAGTAGGTCTGAAGCAGGACTAAAGCAGGTCTAGTAGGTCTGAAGCAGGACTAAAGCAGGTCTAGTAGGTCTGAAGCAGGACTAAAGCAGGTCTAGTAGGTCTGAAGCAGGACTAAAGCAGGTCTAGTAGGTCTGAAGCAGGACTAAAGCAGGTCTAGTAGGTCTGAAGCAGGACTAAAGCAGGTCTAGTAGGTCTGAAGCAGGACTAAAGCAGGTCTAGTCTGTAATGCAAGGTTCAATATTAGGTCCAGTCCTTTTTAAACTGTACTTGTTTCCTCTGCGTGTCACTCCCTCGTTTACTGATGATGGACATGTCTCGCGCTCCCCTCTCTCCCTCACCCCTGCCTCCCCCTGTCTTCCCCTCTCTCCCTCACCCCTGCCTCCCCCTGTCTTCCCCTCTCTCCCTCACCCCTGCCTCCCCCTGTCTTCCCCTCTCTCCCTCACCCCTGCCTCCCCCTGTCTTCCCCCCGCTCCCTCACCTGTGCCTCCCCCTCTCCCCCTCACCCCTGCCTCCCCCTGTCTTCCCCTCTCCCCCTCACCCCTGCCTCCCCCTGTCTTCCCCTCTCTCCCTCACCTGTGCCTCCCCCTCTCCCCCTCACCCCTGCCTCCCCCTGTCTTCCCCTCTCTCTCCCTCACCCCTGCCTCCCCCTGTCTTCCCCTCTCTCCCTCACCCCTGCCTCCCCCTGTCTTCCCCTCTCTCCCTCACCCCTGCCTCCCCCTGTCTTCCCCCCTCTCCCTCACCTGTGCCTCCCCCTCTCTCCCTCTCCCCTCTCTCCCTCACCCCTGCCTCCCCCTGTCTTCCCCCCTCTCCCTCACCTGTGCCTCCCCCTCTCTCCCTCTCCCCTCTCTCCCTCACCCCTGCCTCCCCCTGTCTTCCCCCCTCTCCCTCACCTGTGCCTCCCCCTCTCTCCCTCTCCCCTCTCTCCCTCACCCCTGCCTCCCCTGTCTTCCCCCCTCTCCCTCACCTGTGCCTCCCCCTCTCTCCCTCTCCCCTCTCTCCCTCACCCCTGCCTCCCCCTGTCTTCCCCCCTCTCCCTCACCCCTGCCTCCCCCTGTCTTCCCCCCTCTCCCTCACCTGTGCCTCCCCCTCTCTCTCCCTCCCCCCTCCCTCAGGCTGCAGATGATCGAGGCCATCTGTAAGCACTGGGAGGGCCCCATCTCTCTGGCCCTGTACATGTCTGATGCTGAGGCGCAGCAGTTCCTGCGTTACGCTCAGGCCTCTGAGGTCCTGAAGAACCGTAAGAACGTTGGGTACCACATGGTTTACCGCGAGGGCCAGTTCTACCCCGTCAACCTGCTGCGCAACGTGGCCCTGCGCCACGCCCCCACGCCATACGTGTTCCTCACCGACGTGGACTTCCTGCCCATGTACGGCCTCTACGACTACCTCAGGTACGACTACTCACAGGTACGACTACCTCAGGTACGACTACTCACAGGTACGACTACCTCAGGTACGACTACTCACAGGTACCACTACCTCAGGTACGACTACTCACAGGTACCACTACCTCAGGTACGACTACTCACAGGTACGACTACTCACAGGTACGACTACTCACAGGTACGACTACTCACAGGTACGACTACCTCAGGTACGACTACTCACAGGTACGACTACCTCAGGTACGACTACTCACAGGTACGACTACCTCAGGTACGACTACTCACAGGTACCACTACCTCAGGTACCACTACCTCAGGTATGACTACTCACAGGTACGACCACTCACAGGTACGACTATCTCAGGTACGACTACCCACAGGTACGGTTACTCACAGGTATGACCACTCACAGGTACGACTATCTCAGGTACGACTACCCACAGGTACGGTTACTCACAGGTACGACTACTCACAGGTACGACTACCTCAGGTACGACTACCCACAGGTACGGTTACTCACAGGTACGACTACCTCAGTTATGACTGCTCACAGGTATGACCACTCACAGGTACGACTATCTCAGGTACGACTACCCACAGGTACGGTTACTCACAGGTACGACTACAGTGTTTCCCACAGGTTTGAAGGCAATGTGTGGTGGTCGTCGGCGGGGGGGGGGGGGGAGTGGGGTACAGTGGTAGAGGGCAATGTTGAGGTCATGAATCCAGTGAAATCAGTTGCACACCTTTTTACAGTGAAAAGTTACAGTAGATCAAATGTGACATGTTTTGACCATTTTTAGGCTATTTTGGACCAAAATGGCTACTTTAAATCAATATTTCTACAGTAAAAGTGTCTGGTCTTTGGTACAGTGGTAGAGGACAATCTTGAGGTCATGAATCCAGTGAAATTAGTCGCACACCTTTTTACAGTAAAAAGTTACAGTAGATCAAAAGTGACATGTTTTGACTATTTTGGAGGTATTTTGGACCAAAATGGCTACTTTACCTCAATATTTCTCAATATTTCTACAGTAAAAGTTTCTGGTCTTTGGTACAGTGGCAGAGGGCAATAATAAGGTCATGAGTCAAGTGAAATTAGTCGCACACCTTATTCCAGTAAATAGTTACAATACTTGAAAATTGCACTAGCGGACCAAATTGTGTACTTTATACATGTAAACAATAGAGTGGCTATCCTCCTGAGGACTCACAATCTGCCGGAGGAATCGTAGGGGGCTGGTGCTATGTGTGCCGGGTGGCATCTCTATAAGGTTTTAATCACAAAAACGTGTCTCCCTGACCCCAGCGCGCTTTCTGTTCGATAAAAATGGGTGACTCCGAAAGGACGTTCCGCTGTTACCGTAAGTTCTCAACAAAACGCGCACCGTCTTTTCCCCGATGCGGGCCGCATGTTCATAGAGCTGAAAGATGCGGGCCACTTTACCGCGGTAAATTAATAGACACAGCTGCTTACAGCGATGATCGCTGATGGAGACGGAGACACGCGGTGTGCACGAAGGGGAGGGGCTGTGTGTGTGTGTAGGTCTCTGTATGTGGGAGAGACGCGTAGCTTGAGTGAGAGTTACGAAGGGCCGCCACATTTTAAACCCCCCTCCCCGCTGTCAAATTGACCGCTGCGGCGGCACTAGACGATGCATGTTTTAAATAGCGTAACAAAAAATATATATATATAATAATACGAAACGCAATTTGTGGCGGGCGGTCTCTAATCTGTGGCGGTGCGCCACAGATTAGTCTATGTGTGGGAAACACTGGACTACTCACAGGTACGACTACCTCAGGTACGGTTACTTAGGTACGACTACCTCAGTTATGACTGCTCACAGGTACGACTACTCACAGGTACGACTACCTCAGGTATGACTACTCACAGGTACAACTACCTCAGGTACGACTACTCACAGGTACAGCTAGTCTCTTCCTGGTCTCTCTCTCTGGTCTCTCTCTTCCTGGTTGCCATAGTACTGGTCTCTCTCTCTCTGGTCTCTCTCTCTCTGGTCTTTCTCTGGTCTCTCTCTCTCTGGTCTCTCTCTGGTCTCTCTCTCTCTCTGGTCTCTCTCTGGTCTCTCTCTCTCTGGTCTCTCTCTGGTCTCTCTCTCCCTTGTCTCTCTCTTCCTGGTTGCCATAGTAACTGGTCTCTCTCTCTCTGGTCTCTCTCTCTCTGGTCTTTTTCTCTCTGGTCTCTCTCTCTGGTCTTTCTCTCTCTGGTCTCTCTCTTCCTGGTTGCCATAGTAACTGGTCTCTCTCTCTCTGGTCTTTCTCTCTCTGGTCTCTCTCTCTGGTCTCTCTCTCTCTGGTCTCTTTCTGGTCTCTCTCTCTCTGGTCTCTCTCTTCCTGGTTGCCATAGTAACTGGTCTCTCTCTCTCTGGTCTCTCTCTCTCTGGTCTTTCTCTCTCTGGTCTCTCTCTCTGGTCTCTTTCTGGTCTCTCTCTCTCTGGTCTCTCTCTCTCTGGTCTCTCTCTTCCTGGTTGCCATAGTAACTGGTCTGTGTTGCAGGCGCAGTGTGTCTCAGTTGGACATGTCCCGGACCCTGAAGGCTCTGGTGATCCCGGCCTTTGAGACGCTCAGATATCGTCTGTCGTTCCCCAAATCCAAAGCAGAGCTGCTGTCTATGCTGGACATGGGCACTCTCTACACCTTCAGGTAACACCAGCAACTAGCACCAGGAGCCAGCACCAGGAGCCAGCACCAGGAGCAAGCACCAGGAGCAAGCACCAGGAGCAAGCACCAGGAGCAAGCACCAGGAGCCAGCACCAGGAGCTAGCACCAGGAGCTAGTACCAGGAGCTAACACCAGGAGCTAACACCAGGAGCTAACACCAGGAGCTAACACCAGGAGCTAACACCAGGAGCTAACACCAGGAGCTAACACCAGGAGCTAACACCAGGAGCTAACACCAGGAGCTAACACCAGGAGCTAACACCAGGAGCTAACACCAGGAGCTAACACCAGGAGCTAACACCAGGAGCTAACATAGAAGCTAAAGGCTCCAGCTATCTTGGCAGCATGGTGGTTAGTGGTTAGGACTCTTGCTTCTCAGCAAGAGGGTCCTGGGTTTGAATCCTTGGTTTCCTTTCTGAGTGGAGTTTGCATGTTCTCCTAGTGTCTCCATAAGTTGCCACAGGTTGCTTCAGTTTCCCTGAACACTTAAAAAAATGTACAAAGGTCCAAGAGCATCTACATCTGGAGATGGGCTCCAGGCTGTACTACTCTCTTGTTCTCATTGGTCTCTCTCTCTCTGGGGTCTCTCTCTCTGGTCTCAAAATTGTGAAATTGGACAGATGGGTCAAATGCAGAGGTCATACTTCCGTACAGAGACAATAAAGTATAACTTAAAAAACTGGTTTCGTACTTAGTCTGCTGGTGCATTATGGGACGTTCAGAGCGATCATGCTGCTGTGACTTTCAAAGTCAATGGTGACGTACGTTCGAGCGTGGAACTGTATGTGCGTCTCGGCATGCACGGACTGTGCGGTAGAGACCCACGGACTGTGTGGTAGAGACCCACGGACTGTGTGGTAGAGACCCACGGACTGTGTGGTAGAGACCCACGGACTGTGTGGTAGAGACCCACGGACTGTGTGGTAGAGACCCACGGACTGTGTGGTAGAGACCCACGGACTGTGTGGTAGAGACCCACGGACTGCGTGGTAGAGACCCACGGACTGCGCGGTAGAGACCCACAGACTGCGCGGTAGAGACCCACGGACTGTGTGGTAGAGACCCACAGACTGTGTGGTAGAGACCCACGGACTGTGTGGTAGAGACCCACGGACTGTGCGGTAGAGACCCACGGACTGTGCGGTAGAGACCCACGGACTGTGTGGTAGAGACCCACAGACTGTGTGGTAGAGACCCACAGACTGTGTGGTAGAGACCCACGGACTGTGCGGTAGAGACCCACGGACTGTGTGGTAGAGACCCACAGACTGTGTGGTAGAGACCCACAGACTGTGTGGTAGAGACCCACAGACTGTGTGGTAGAGACCCACAGACTGTGTGGTAGAGACCCACAGACTGTGTGGTAGAGACCCACAGACTGTGTGGTAGAGACCCACGGACTGTGTGGTAGAGACCCACGGACTGCGTGGTAGAGACCCACGGACTGTGCGGTAGAGACCCACAGACTGTGTGGTAGAGACCCACGGACTGTGTGGTAGAGACCCACGGACTGTGTGGTAGAGACCCACGGACTGCGTGGCAAAGGACGCAGGAGCGGAAAATTGAGGCACGCAGGAGATACATTTTGCTGAACTTTCCTCGGGACGCTCGTGCAGCGACCAATCAGAAAGCCGCAAAGTCACGGGGACATCAGCGGTCTGAGCGGGCAGACTGAAACCAGGACTAAACCAGGACTAAACCAGGACTAAAACAGGACTACACCAGGACTAAACCAGGACTAAAACAGGACTACACCAGGACTAAACCAGGACTGACAGTGTGAACATGTGCCTCCAGCCTGAGCTCTCATTCTGCTGTGACTATGAAGAAGTGCGTGTTCTTGATGCGCAAGCACCGTTTAATAATCAAATAAACGTATTGCGCACCTACTTCAAATACACACTAGTATGAACACATACTGCTGTTATATAAAGTCACCGTGAACACATACTGCTGTTATATAAAGTCACCGTGAACACATACTACTGTTATATAAAGTCACCGTGAACACATACTGCTGTTATATAAAGTCACCGTGAACACATACTGCTGTTATATAAAGTCACCGTGAACACATACTACTGTTATATAAAGTCACCGTGAACACATACTGCTGTTATATAAAGTCACCGTGAACACATACTACTGTTATATAAAGTCACCGTGAACACATACTGCTGTTATATAAAGTCACCGTGAACACATACTACTGTTATATAAAGTCACCTCCGTGAACACATACTGCTGTTATATAAAGTCACCTCCGTGAACACATACTGCTGTTATATAAAGTCACCTCCGTGAACACATACTGCTGTTATATAAAGTCACCGTGAACACATACTGCTGTTATATAAAGTCACCGTGAACACATACTGCTGTTATATAAAGTCACCGTGAACACATACTGCTGTTATATAAAGTCACCGTGAACACATACTGCTGTTATATAAAGTCATCGTGAACACATACTGCTGTTATATAAAGTCACCGTGAACACATACTGCTGTTATATAAAGTCACCGTGAACACATACTGCTGTTATATAAAGTCTGTGAAGGTCTCAGACACAGAGACGCTGCATTATTGGAGAAGAACTTTACACAAAAAGCTGCTAGCTTAACTCCGTTAGCATCAAAGCCCTCCACTACTTCCACTGCTTCCGGCGGGCGCCACCGCAGCAGGACTTCTGGTCTGAAGACCCCGAGCGTCTGAAAATGTAGAGAATGTTCGTCTGGTGGAAGCTGCGTTCCAGCGTCAGCGTCTGAACGCCACATTATGTCTTTCTGCTTTATTCATGTATATATTTCTTAAATACTAAATCCCAGTTTAAAATGGCTGCAGGTCTGTTTTTGAGGAGGATGTTAAAGTAAAGAGGTTGGTGGAGATCCAAGGCCAAACACGACCGCCTCCTTCAAGAATGGAATGAAATAGTTGCAAAACCTTTGTAAATAACATAATAATAAGTGTTTTTGAAAATGTTTTATCTTAGCTATAGTTAAAATACGGTTTTAGTTTTAGGGATGTTATTTTTTGAAGATAGTTTCCTTTTTTGCAACATGTTAGCGCGAGGCGCAAGCCATCAACGGCAATGCATGGTTACCACGGCAACAGAAAGGCAAAGTCCAACGGAGCGCAAATGAAAACGTTATTTTTTAGGTACCCCCCTTTTTTTTGAGGAACAAGGTACGTTTACTACGAATGTATTTTTTGTTAAATGTACGTTGTATTATTATTGTAAGGATGTAAGAGTTGATCATCTTATTGTTGTGTTCTCAGCTCTTACGGTGAATTTGAGAGTTTACAGATATTAAACTCGATAATCATCAGTGAAGTGTCTTCCTACATGCGGGGGGGGTTTGCATTCAAGTGAGTCTCACTCTCTGGTCTCGCTCTGGTCTCTCTCTCTGGTCTCGCTCTGGTCTCTCACTCTGGTCTCACTCTGGTCTCGCTCTGGTCTCTCTCTTTGGTCTCTCTCTGGTCTCTCTCTCTGGTCTCTCTCTCTGGTCTCTCTCTTTGGTCTCTCTCTGGTCTCTCTCTGATCTCTCTCTGATCTCTCTCTGGTCTCTCTCTCTGGTCACTCTCTTTGGTCTCTCTATGGTCTCTCTCTGGTCTCTCTCTGGTCTCTCTCTGGTCTCTCTCTCTGGTCTCTCTCTCTGGTCTCTCTCTTTGGTCTCTCTCTGGTCTCTCTCTTTGGTCTCTCTCACTGGTCTCTCTCTCTGGTCTCTCTCTGGTCTCTCTCTGGTCTCTCTCTGGTCTCTCTCTGGTCTCTCACTGGTCTCTCTCTGGTCTCTCTCTGGTCTCTCTCTGGTCTCTCTCTGGTCTCTCACTGATCTCTCTCTGGTCTCTCTCTGGTCTCTCTCTGGTCTCTCTCTGGTCTCTCTCTGGTCTCTCTCTGGTCTCCCTCTGGTCTCTCTCTGGTCTCTCTCTGGTCTCTCTCTGGTCTCTCTCTGGTCTCTCTCTGGTCTCTCACTGATCTCTCTCTGGTCTCTCTCTGGTCTCTCTCTGGTCTCTCTCTGGTCTCTCTCTGGTCTCTCTCTGGTCTCCCTCTGGTCTCTCTCAGGAGATTTTAGTCAAAAGGGGCGGAGTCACATGTGTGTTGCTGATATTAGCATGAATGGATCTGAAAACGTCTCCGGGTCTGGGACTTTACATGTTTGTATTTTGTTTTTAAATGTTTATAGTTATAATAAGATGTGTTACAGATGATCTTTGGGTCGCAGCCCTCTCTCTGTAGTTCTAACAGAGCCATAAGTCACTACATTACCCATAAGTCTCCACTGCAGCAGTAAATAATGTATTCAGGATTTGGGCTAAAGTGGTTTGGATTCTCATCGCGCTCCTCTTTCCATTTTCAGATTAAAGTCGCGTAGGAGTGTTTTATCATCTTGGAAACATTAGCGGTAATAGCTGCGTTCACTTTGGCAAAAACACAAATAATTTCAAAATGGAGGACGCGAAAAGGACAAAGCATCAGGAGGAAGAAAGGGTTTCACTGAAGCTTTCTGGGTAATGGGTTTTAGATGGAGTCTAAATACAAATACAAATATAGACCCAGGACTGAGGCTGTAGACCCAGGTCTGAGGCTGTCGACCCAGGTCTGAGGCTGTAGACCCAGGTCTGAGGCTGTAGACCCAGGTCTGAGGCTGTAGACCCAGGACTGAGGCTGTAGACCCAGGACTGAAGCTGTAGACCCAGGTCTGAGGCTGTAGACCCAGGACTGAGGCTGTAGACCCAGGTCTGAGGCTGTCGACCCAGGTCTGAGGCTGTAGACCCAGGTCTGAGGCTGTAGACCCAGGACTGAGGCTGTAGACCCAGGACTGAGGCTGTAGACCCAGGTCTGAGGCTGTAGACCCAGGTCTGAGGCTGTAGACCAAGGACTGAGGCTGTAGACCCAGGACTGAAGCTGTAGACCCAGGACTGAGGCTGTAGACCCAGGTCTGAGGCTGTAGACCAGGTCTGAGGCTGTAGACCCAGGACTGAAGCTGCTAATGCAGTGGTTAGCCCTTGTGTTTCACAGCCAGAAGGTCGCGTGTTTGATTCCACCTCCAGGCCTTTCTGTGTTCTCCCAATTTCTGTGTAGGTTTCCTCCGGGTGCTCCAGTTTCCCATACCACTAAAAACATACAGTTGGTCTGAATGTAACAAGTGACAAACAGATGGTTCGGATTTTGTCTTCATCGTGTGGAGAGAATGGCCAAATATTGGTACAGAAGAGAGAGAGAGACCCAGAGAGAGACCCAGAGAGAGAGAGACCCACATAGGTTTTGCTCTGAATCCAGCGTCTGTGAGAACAAGAGGAAAGATCCTTGTAACAACCCCTCCCCTTTCTCTCCCTCCCTCTCCCACCTCCCTCTCCCGGCTCTCTCTCTCTCCCTCCCTCTCCCACCTCCCTCCCCCGGCTCTCTCTCTCTCCCTCCCTCTCCCACCTCCCTCTCCCGGCTCTCTCTCTCTCCCTCCCTCTCCCACCTCCCTCTCCCGGCTCTCTCTCTCTCCCTCCCTCTCCCACCTCCCTCCCCCGGCTCTCTCTCTCTCCCTCCCTCTCACACCTCCCTCCCCCGGCTCTCTCTCTCTCCCCCCTCCCTCTCTCCCTGTCGCAGGTATCACGTGTGGCCCAAAGGTCACGCTCCAACAAACTACGCAAAATGGCGGACGGCGACGATGCCGTACCGTGTGGAGTGGGAGGCGGACTTCGAGCCGTACGTTGTGGTTCGACGAGACTGTCCCGAGTACGACCAGCGCTTTGTCGGCTTCGGCTGGAACAAGGTGTCGCACGTGATGGAGCTGGACGCACAGGTCACTGCTCTAGAACCTACTCTGCTCTAGAACCTACTCTGCTCTAGAACTTAATCTGCTGTAGAACCTACTCTGCTCTAGAACCTACTCTGCTCTAGAACTTAATCTGCTGTAGAACCTACACTGCTCTAGAACCTACGCTGCTCTAGAACCTACTCTGCTCTAGAACTTAATCTACTCTAGAACCTACTCTGCTCTAGAACCTACGCTGCTCTAGAACCTACTCTGCTCTAGAACTTAATCTGCTGTAGAACCTACACTGCTCTAGAACCTACGCTGCTCTAGAACCTACTCTGCTCTAGAACCTGAACTGATCTAGAACCTACTCTGCGCTTGAACCTACTTTGCTCTAGAATCTACTTTGCTCTAGAACCTACTCTGCTCTAGAACCTGAACTGATCTAGAACCTACTATGATCTAGAACCTACTCTGCTCCAGAACCCACTCTGCTCTAGAATCTACTTTGCTCTAGAACCTACACTGAGCTAGAACCTACACTGCTCTAGAACTCACTCTGCAGAACCTACTTTGATCTAGAACCCACTCTGCAGAACCTACTTTGATATAGAACCCACTCTGCAGAACCCACACTGATCTAGAGCCTACACTGCTCTAGAACTTACTCTGCAGAACTCACTCTGCTCAAGAACCTACAATACAATACAATACAATTTATTCTTGTATAGCCCTAGGTCACAACAGAAGTCATCTCAGAGGACTTAACAAAACCATTGAAATCACCAACACAGATCAGAGAATCAACAGTTAAAACACATGAAGAATATAAAGCACACACAGAAGAAAATGTCCATACATGTTGTAGAATGCTAAAGTGTCCTGATCATCACCAATCCTTTCTGTTGGACACTAACTGTCCAACAAGACCCTCCTGCATCGACAAGGAAAAACTCTTAAAAAACCCAGTGGGAAAAAGTGAGAAACCTTGGGGAGCACTAGGGAAACCCACAGGGAGGGAGACCCATATGAGAAAGGGATCCGCTCCTCCGGACGGACAGACTAATGATCTAGGACCTAAGCTAGCTACAGAACGTGGACCAGTGGCCGCTGAACGTGGACAGGTCCGGTGCAGGACCGAAGCACTCCCAGGCGGGTCGGGCGGGGAAGTCCGCAGGTGTAGATGGAGGAGGCCAGGCTCAGAGATCCCGTCATCGTACCATGAAACAGACAATGGGACAACGGGTGAATAGCAATGAACAAACTACAGTCAGAATCCTAAAAATGCTAAACAGATAAAGTAGGAAGGAGGAGAGGATAGTGCTCAAGTTACCATACTTCTCCCAGAAAACTGACTCCCTATGCAGCTTGACTAACACTCTGAGGAGTTTAACCTTCTCCGAGTCTTACCTTCCTAGCCATATGCTAAACTAAAGAGGACTGTTTTAAACCTAGCCTTGAATAAAGAATAACATACAGCATAATATATAACATAATATACAACATAACACAATACATTATTGAATAATATATAACATAATATATAACATAATACAGCATATATATATAATGCCTACACATACAGGAGAGAGAGAGAAGAGAGGGGGGGGGGAGGAAAGAGGGAGGCGAGGGAGGGCACAGGGGGGAGAGCGGAGGGAGAGAAGGAGAGGATTGGAACATGGTGAAAAGCTAAAGAACTGAGATTGTTGTGTTTGCGTCTCCATGGTTACCGCAGGAGTTCCAGCTGATGGTCCTGCCCAACGCCTTCATGGTGCACATGCCGCACGCCCCGAGCTTCGACATCTCCAAGTTCAGGTCGAGTCCCGGATACAGACACTGCCTCTCCACCCTCAAGGACGAGTTCCACCAGGACCTGTCCCGCAAGTACGGCTCTGCGGCCCTCAAGTACCTCACAGCTCACCGCAGCATGTGAGACCCGGGCCCCTGAGACCCGGGCCCCTGAGACCCGGGCCCCTGAGACCCGGGCCCCTGAGACCCGGGCCCCTGAGACCCGGGCCCCAGGGTCTGAGGCAGCAGAGACCTGAGACCCGGGCTGGAGAAGAGCTACATCCATGACAAAACCCCAGGAGAGACGCTTGAGCAGGGAAGAGACTGCTGCAGCCAAGAGAGAGACCAGAGAGAGAGAAAGAGAAACCTCCTGTTGTGGTGTTTCAGCCAAAGTCCACGGGACGAGGACGTTTTGTGAAAGTGACAAAGAAAAAAATTTTGTTTTCTTCATTTGACATTGATTGGATTCACAAAGGCGTCATAGAGAGAGAGACCAAGAGAGAGACCAGAGAGAGAGACTAGAGAGAGAGACCAGAGAGAGAGACCAGAGAGAGAGACTAGAGAGAGAGACCAGAGAGAGAGACCAGAAAGAGAGACCAGAGAGAGAGACCAGAGAGAGAGACCAGAGAGAGAGACCAGAGAGAGAGACCAGAGCGAGAGACCAGAGCGAGAGACCAGAGCGAGAGACCAGAGCGAGAGACCAGAGCGAGAGACCAGAGCGAGACCAGAGAGAGAGACCAGAGCGAGAGACCAGAGCGAGAGACCAGAGCGAGAGACCAGAGCGAGACCAGAGAGAGACCAGAGAGAGAGACCAGAGAGAGAGACCAGAGAGAGAGACCAGAGAGAGAGAGACCATAGAGAGAAAGAGAGAGAGGGCCGAGAGAGAGACCGTGTAAAATCTGTTGGGTTCAATCAAAGGTTCTGTCGTTTGGTGCCTTCATGGTCCTTTTGAAATAATTATTTTTTCTGAGTTTGTTGTTAAATAATTTGAGCTGTTTTCTCTGAACCTGGGAAATCCTGTGACGTTTCAGTGTCACTGATGGTGCTTTAAAGCTGGGCTACGTAACTTCTCTCAAACAACACGTGTCAGAAAGTTTTTCACTTCTCAGAGGGCAAAAGTCTAGAGACCAAGACCAGGACAGGACCAGGATCAAGACCAAGACCTATTTCAGAGTGTAATTGTTGTGGTTTGAAAGTTATGTCCCCCAGCTTTAAAAACAAACATGAATAAGGCCAGACTTCCTTGGACCCTGTGTTTTCGTCTCTACCGTAGGTTTCTCTCGTGGTCGTTCGGCGTCACAGACTTTTGGAACTTTCCGCTGGCGACTCAAGCTTTACAGAGGAAACTCACCGACAATCAGGGCCTGACCACAGCCCCCCCCGGTCACCGGACTGACCATGCCCCCCCCCCCCCCCCCCCCCACGGTCACCGGACTGACCACGCCCCCCCTACGGTCACCCGACTGACCACGCCCCCCCCCCCCCCCTACGGTCACCGGACTGACCACGCCCCCCCTACGGTCACCAGACTGACCACGGTCACTGGACTGGGACTGGGTCTGACCACGGACCATACGCCTTATCTCCGCAAAGGAAGATATTTAGGAGGTTTTGTTGTTTTTGTGTTTAATGAAGAACTGGGCTCAGAGTGTGTGTGTGTGTGTGTGTGGTTGCGGTGGTGGTTGGTGTGTGTGTGTGTAGTTGCGGTAGTGGTTTGTGTGTGTGTGTGTGTAGTTGCGGTAGTGGTTTGTGTGTGTGTGTGTGGTTGCGATGGTGGTTGGTGTGTGTGTGGTTGCGATGGTGGTTGGTGTGTGTGTGTGTGGTTGCGGTGGTGGTTGGTGTGTGTGTGTGTGTGGTTGCGGTGGTGGTTGGTGTGTGTGTAGTTGCGGTAGTGGTTGGTGTGTGTGTGTGTAGTTGCGGTAGTGGTTGGTGTGTGTGTGTGTAGTTGCGGTAGTGGTTGGTGTGTGTGTGTGTGGTTGAGATGGTGGTTGGTGTGTGTGTGTGTGTGTGGTTGAGATGGTGGTTGGTGTGTGTGTGTGTGGTTGAGATGGTGGTTGGTGTGTGTGTGTGTGTGTGGTTGCGATGGTGGTTGGTGTGTGTGTCTGTGTGTGGTTGCGGTGGTGGTTGGTGTGTGTGTGTGGTTGAGATGGTGGTTGGTGTGTGTGTGTGTGGTTGAGATGGTGGTTGGTGTGTGTGTGTGTAGTTGCGGTAGTGGTTGGTGTGTGTGTGTGTGGTTGAGATGGTGGTTGGTGTGTGTGTGTGTGTGTGTGTGTGGTTGAGATGGTGGTTGGTGTGTGTGTGTGTGGTTGCGGTGGTGTGTGTGTGTGTAGTTGCGGTAGTGGTTTATGTGTGTGTGTGTGGTTGCGATGGTGGTTGGTGTGTGTGTGTGTGGTTGCGATGGTGGTTGGTGTGTGTGTGTGTGTGTGGTTGCGATGGTGGTTGGTGTGTGTGTGTGTGTGTGGTTGCGATGGTGGTTGGTGTGTGTGTGTGTGGTTGCGGTGGTGTGTGTGTGTGTAGTTGCGGTAGTGGTTTGTGTGTGTGTGTGTGGTTTGCGATGGTGGTTGGTGTGTGTGTGTGTGGTTGCGATGGTGGTTGGTGTGTGTGTGTGTGTGTGGTTGCGATGGTGGTTGGTGTGTGTGTGTGTGTGTGGTTGCGATGGTGGTTGGTGTGTGTGTGTGTGTGTGTTGCGGTAGTGGTTTGTGTGTGTGTGTGGTTGCGGTTGGTGTGTGTGTGGTTGCGGTGGTGTGTGTGTGTGTAGTTGCGGTAGTGGTTTGTGTGTGTGTGTGTGGGTGCGGTGGTGGTTGGTGTGTGTGTGGTTGCGATGGTGGTTGGTGTGTGTGTGTGGTTGCGGTGGTGGTTGGTGTGTGTGTGTGTGTGGTTGCGGTGGTGGTTGGTGTGTGTGTGTGTGTGTGTGTGGTTGCGGTGGTGGTTGGTGTGTGTGTGTGTGTGGTTGCGATGGTGGTTGGTGTGTGTGTGTGTGTAGTTGCGGTAGTGGTTGGTGTGTATGTGTGTAGTTGCGGTAGTGGTTGGTGTGTGTGTGTGTAGTTGCGGTAGTGGTTGGTGTGTGTGTGTGTAGTTGCGGTAGTGGTTGGTGTGTGTGTGTGTGGTTGAGATGGTGATTGGTGTGTGTGTGTGTGGTTGAGATGGTGGTTGGTGTGTGTGTGTGGTTGAGATGGTGGTTGGTGTGTGTGTGTGTGTGGTTGAGATGGTGGTTGGTGTGTGTGTGTGGTTGAGATGGTGGTTGGTGTGTGTGTGTGTGTGGTTGAGATGGTGGTTGGTGTGTGTGTGTGTGTGGTTGAGATGGTGGTTGGTGTGTGTGTGTGTGTGGTTGAGATGGTGGTTGGTGTGTGTGTGTGTGGTTGATGGTGGTTGGTGTGTGTGTGTGGTGTGGTTGGATGGTGGTTGTGTGTGTGTGTGGGGTGGGTGGTGGTTGAGATGTGTGTGTGGTGGGTGGTGGTGTGTGTGTGTGTGGTTGAGATGGTGGTTGGTGTGAGATGGTGGTTGTGGTGGTGGTTGTGGGGTGTGGGTGGTGTGGTGGTGGGTGGTGTGTGTGGGTTGAGAGGTGGTGGTGTGTTGTGTGTGGTTGAGATGGTGGTGGTGTGTGTGTGTGTGGTTGAGATGGTGGTTGGTGTGTGTGTGTGTGTGGGGGGTTGGTGTGTGTGGTTGGTGTGTGGGGGATGGGTGGTGTGTGTGTGTGTGTGTGGTTGGATGGTGGTTGGTGTGTGTGTGGGGTGTGTGTGTGGTTGAGATGGTGGTGTGTGTGTGTGTGTGGTTGAGATGTGGGTGGGTGTGGTGTGTGTGGGGGTGAGATGGTGGTGGTGTGTGTGTGTGTGGTTGAGATGGTGGTTGGTGTGGGTGGGTGTGGTTGAGATGGTGGTTGGTGTGTGGGTGTGTGGTTGGATGGTGGTTGGTGTGTGGTGTGTGTGGTTGAGATGGTGGTTGGTGTGTGTGTGTGGTGGTTGAGGGTGGGGGTGGTGTGTGTGTGTGGGGTTGAGATGGTGGTTGGTGTGTGTGTGTGTGGTGAGATGGGGTGGTGTGTGTGTGTGGTTGAGATGGTGGTTGGTGTGTGGGTGTGGTGTGGTTGAGATGGTGGTTGGTGTGTGTGTGTGTGTGGTGGATGGTGGTTGGTGTGTGTGTGTGTGGGGGGGGAGTGGTGGTTGGGTGTGTGGTGTGGGTGGGGAGGGTGGTTGGTGGGTGTGTGTGTGTGTGTGGTTGAGATGGTGGTTGGTGTGTGTGTGTGGTTGAGATGGTGGTTGGTGTGTGTGTGTGTGGTTGAGATGGTGGTTGGTGTGTGTGGTTGAGATGGTGGTTGGTGTGTGTGTGTGTGGGTTGAGATGGTGGTTGGTGTGTGTGTGTGTGGTTGAGATGGTGGTTGGTGTGTGTGTGTGTGGTTGAGATGGTGGTTGGTGTGTGTGTGTGGTTGAGATGGTGGTTGGTGTGTGTGTGTGTGGTTGAGATGGTGGTTGGTGTGTGTGTGTGTGGTTGAGATGGTGGTTGGTGTGTGTGTGTGTGGTTGAGATGGTGGTTGCAGTGATGCCAGTGCCTTTGAGCCGTGACCCTGGTTGTGGATTGTATTGTTGTGGGCGGGGCTTGGGGCATATTTATTATCGTTGATTCAGATCATATTTTTATATCTGTGCTTTAAATAAACTGCTTTTATACAAACATGAGTCTGAGTCTGTACACTACAGAGAGAGAAACCAGAGAGAGAGAGAGACCAGAGAGAGAAACCAGAGAGAGAGAGAGACCAGAGGGAGAGAGACCAGAGAGAGAAACCAGAGAGAGAGAGAGACCAGAGGGAGAGAGACCAGAGAGAGAGACCAGAGAGAGGGAGAGACCAGAGGGAGAGAGAGAGACCAGAGAGAGAGACCAGAGGAAGAGAGACCAGAGAAAGAGAGACCAGAGAGAGAAAGACCAGACAGAGAGTCCAGAGAGACTGTTCCAACAGCAGTAATAGTGTTTCATGAAACAAAACCAAAACAATGAAACAGTCGTGTTTTATAGAACAGTCTGACTGTAGGGAACGGAACTGCTCTGAGGGAGGACACACTCCTCCTCCCCCCCCCCTCCCCTCTCTCTCCTCCTCCTGTGGTCTCCTCATGTGGAAAATGAGTCTGTTCTGTTTTGTTCTCCTTAATGACTCCAGGAGGAGCAGGTCCCTGAGCTCCTGCTGCTTAAAATGCAAATCACCTCAAACTTTAGAACGGAAAGAAAATTCAGAAAAACACGACGGGATTAAGACCAAGAGTTTCACCAGGGACCAGAGGGAGACCAGAGAGAGACCAGAGAGAGACCAGAGGGGGACCAGAGAGAGACCAGAGCAAGACCAGAACGAGACCAGAACGAGACCAGAGGGAGACCAGAGGGAGACCAGAGGGAGACCAGAGAGAGACCAGAGGGAGACCAGAGAGAGACCAGAGGGAGACCAGAGAGAGACCAGAGCAAGACCAGAGAGAGACCAGAGGGAGACCAGAGAGAGACCAGAGAGAGACCAGAGAGAGACCAGAGAGAGACCAGAGAGAGACCAGAGAGAGACCAGAGAGAGACCAGAGAGAGACCAGAGAGAGAGACCAGAGAGAGACCAGAGAGAGACCAGAGAGAGAGACCAGAGAGAGACCAGAGAGAGACCAGACCAGAGAGAGACCAGAGAGAGACCAGAGAGAGACCAGAGAGACCCAGAGAGAGACCAGAGAGAGACCAGAGAGAGACCAGAGAGAGACCAGAGAGAGACCAGAGAGAGACCAGAGAGAGAGACCAGAGAGAGAGACCAGAGAGACCAGAGAGAGACCAGAGAGAGACCAGAGAGACCCAGAGAGAGACCAGAGAGAGACCAGAGAGAGACCAGAGAGAGACCAGAGAGAGACCAGAGAGAGACCAGAGAGAGACCAGAGAGAGACCAGAGAGAGACCAAGAGGACCAGAGAGAGAGACCAGAGAGAGACCAGAGAGAGACCAGAGAGAGACCAGAGAGAGACAGAGAGAGACCAGAGAGAGACCAGAGAGAGACCAGAGAGAGACCAGAGAGAGACCAGAGAGAGACCAGAGAGAGACCAGAGAGAGACCAGAGAGAGACCAGAGAGAGACAGAGGACCAGAGAGGACAGAGAGAGACCAGAGAGAGACCAGAGAGAGACCAGAGAGTGACCAGAGAGACCAGAGAGAGACCAGAGAGAGACCAGAGAGAGACCAGAGAGAGACCAGAGAGAGACAGAGAGAGAGACCAGAGAGAGACCAGAGAGAGACCAGAGAGAGACCAGAGAGAGACCAGAGAGAGACCAGAGAGAGACCAGAGAGAGACCAGAGAAGACCAGAGAGAGAAGACCGAGAGAGACCAGAGAGAGACCAGAGAGAACCAGAGAGAGACAGACCAGAGAGAGACCAGAGAGAGACCAGAGAGAGACCAGAGAGAGAGACGAGAGAGACCAGAGAGAGACCAGAGAGAGACCAGAGAGAGACCAGAGAGAGAGACCAGAGAGAGACCAGAGAGAGACCAGAGAGAGACCAGAGAGAGACCAGAGAGAGACCAGAGAGAAAGAGAGAGACCAGAGAGAGACCAGAGAGAGACCAGAGAGAGAC